AATGGCATCTTTACTGTATCCACACACGTACCAGTCTTGATGTGTTGTCGCCATCATCTCTCAAGCTTGCATGTGATTGGGCAGTTTCAGGTAATCACACACCGTGCCCAATCACATGACCAGTGCTGGCAAGATTCCACTGCGTCACCGTCGAAACTCGTGACGCTGTGGAATCGTGCAGGAAACAAGGGCACGTACATCCCATTTCGTGGATGGCCCATAGGGGACCATCCACGCCTGCATGGTGGCTTTTGTTTGAGGGTGCCAACCAATCACCAACGAGGTGTGGTGACCCTCCCTTCCCCATCCCTTTCACCCCATTCTTGAGCGCCGTGTTAGATTAGGTGAGCTTCGTTCTCCCCGCTGTTTCTCAGCTGACTCTCCTCCACTCCACCCTCCATCTCTCGTCCATACTCCCGCCATGGCTGGACCCGTTGATGGTGCGTCTGCCGACGACGATGCTGACGACATAGAAATCGAGATTGCACGCACGGGTCTAGACCTGTTGCTGTGTTCGCTCTCTAAAGCAACCATCCCACCTGGTAGCAAGAATCCGCCCGTTACTTCAGTTACGGCTGTTCCCACCGTCACTTCCACCCCACCTGACTCAATTGTCGCCCCAGTTATTAACACCGCAACGCCAGCCGATGTCACCGGCACTGTACCCACTACGGTACATGTCGAGCCGTCAACACCAGCAGCACCGTCCCCGGCTTCTCCTATGGACACATCTCCATCTCTTCCACCAGGTTTTGAGATGGCGTCCCCGTCCTCTCGACCCGTTCCACCTGCATCGCAACCAGCTGCTCCCGAAGCGGCGTCCCCTGCAGGTCGGCCCGTTCCACCCGCAACGCAACCAGCTACACACGAAGCGGCGTCCCCTGCCGGTCGGCCCGTTCCACCTGCATCTCACCCTCACGCAGCTGCATCGGTGTCGCCGGCTGCTCGGCTTGTCCAGACGAAGTTGAACTTCATTCGCCCCTCATCTGCGCCACCATCAGCACCCACCAACATGCCCACTCCGCCTGTACTCGAAGCTGCAGCCTCGAACCAGCCCTCAGCTACTCCCGAGGAGCTGTATGCCATTGCTCTTGATAGGTTCAAATCACGCTGGCAAGGTCAATTTGCCTGGTTGCAGCTTGTCAAGACTTCAACTGGTCACCCTGCTTTCAAGTGTTCTGTGTGTACAGATCATTCAGGATTGACTGGCAAGACGGGCAAGTGCACCGAAGGGGCAGTCGATGTTCAAAAGCAGGCATTCACGCGTCACCAAGCCACCAACAAGCACAAGCTCGCGAAACAACGGCAGGATCAGCTCGTTGGCGCGACGAGGCAGCCGCGGATTGATGAGCATCCACTGGCGCACGACAGCGAGAAGGTCCGAGTGGTGAATCTGATGGATGCCCTACTCTTTGTCAGCAGGCAAGATGCACCAATGGATCTGTGGGTGGGATTGGTCCGCTACATGGCTGAGAAGGGAGTCCCCGGATTCCCAAAAAAGGGATACGGGACGTACTACACCACGTAAGTCCTTTTCCAATTTTTGATTGCCCTGTTTTTCTTGTGATGGCATGGGCTAACCTACATCTTCTTCTTTGCCTGTCAGGAATGGATTCGGGGAGCTGACTCAGTCTATGGCAACGTGGCTGCAAACAACACAGCTCGAGGAGATCCTGGCAAGTCCCTACATCGGCATCTCATGCGATGAGAGCACCGATCGCTGCAGAGGCAAACACCTCATCTTGTTCGTCACGTTCATTCGCAACTCACGCCTCGCCTGCGAGTTCATGGCTCTGCTGACGGTTGACAAGGCGGATGCGGCTTCGCTGTTGCAGTTGTTGCTGTCCCACCTGCAGGCGACTGGTGTTGACCTGAGACGCATCGTGGGCATCAGCACGGACGGTGCGTCCGTGATGATGGGAGCACGGTCGGGCTTGGTTGCAAGGCTTCGACTTCGCATACCGCACCTCGTCTCTTGTCATTGTATTGCACACCGGTAAGTTAAGATCCTGCTCCTATGTTTTGATTGATTTGTTTGGTGTTTGTTCCTGCTCCTTTGAGTTGACTGATTTGTTTGGTGATTATCCTGCTACTCTCTTGTTCTAATACACTGTCCCTGTGTGTTTGCCGCAGGGAAGCCCTTGCCGCTAAGGATGCTGCCGAGAGCTTGCCTGTCTTCAACATGATCGACAACACGGTCCGTGCCATCGCCGAGCATCTGGGCCGTTCGGGTCCATGGCATCAGCGCTTCAAGGACCTCCAAGAGGTTTTCACCGAGACTTTTCTGGAGCTGCAAGGAATCCACAGTGTACGGTGGCTATCACGTGGTGATGCCATCGCCAGGTTTGTGGCGGTCCTGCCGACAGTCATCACGATGTTGAAGGAGTGGAATGACAAGCTGTACAAGGTGGTGACGTCGTTCCGGTTCCACTTTCTCCTGTTCTTCCTTGCCGACGTGCTTGACCAGATGAACGTCCTGAGTAGGACGTTCCAGCGACGAGAGGTGCGTCCACGTAGGCTAGACTTGCATGGCCATTGTCTATGCGTTCTGTCCTGTATTTTAACTGGTGTGTCTTATAAAATCTGGCGCCTAATTACTTCCACCTTGCTTCCATTCCATCCCCCACAGCTCGATCTCTCAGCTGTGCACACGCAGATCCGCCGTACTACTGGACATCTAGAGGCCCGTTACGTCGACTGCGGGGACGAGTTTGGCGGAGGGCTCACTCCAAGGCTCTCACCATGGCTTGAGAAGCACGGCCCTGAAGACAAGCGGGAAGTCTGCATCGAGGGCAGCGACTCCGACGGGCAGGCATGCACCTTCACGTTCATACTGCATGAGGAAAAGCTTGACGACTACCCTGGACCTGGGCACCAAGACGCATGCATCGACATCTGCACCGAGTTCGCTGAGCTCATCGTGGCCAACCTCCTGGATCGGTTGGGCGACCTCGACAAGCTCTCGGGCGTGAGCTTGTTCACCCCCGACAATTGGCCGCACGGCACGCACGAGCGCCAAGCGAAGTGTCAGGAGCATCTTGAGGCGCTGATCACTCTCTTCCGGGCGGAAGAGTGCGAGGAGATCGTACCTGGTGAGCCCGATGCCTTATGTGTGCATGCCGTGCATCTCCATCCTTGTGTCATGTCGGATTTCTTATCAACCACTATGTTTCCATATCCGTTCTTGTTTTTCTAACTGCAGGTGTCGACAAGAAAAAAGCAGTCAAGGAAGTGCGACTGCTAATCCCCGTCCTTTCACGTGCACCGAAGGGTGAGCGAGGATTCCACACTGGTCTTACCGCCATGCTTAAGACGGACGACTGGCAGCAGCACTACCCGAACCTGGTGCGGCTGTGGGTGGCGGTGGCGGTCCTGCCGTTGAGCACAGTCGAATGCGAGCGCGGCTTCTCGCGGCAGAACGTCATTAAGTCCTGGCAGCGCGGCAGCCTCAAAGATGCGCGGCTTAGTGACTTAATGTGCATGTCCCTACTCCGTTACAAGCCCAACTGGGACGAAATAGTCGAGATCTGGCGTAACTACAAGAAGCGGAAGCCGCTCAACACCTGCAACATCTCCAGGCAGGAGGCAGATAGGAGGCGTCGGGGGAAGGAGGAGGCAGAGGCAGGAGACCAGGCCAACCCTGTAGACCTAGATGAAGAGGAGGATGTAGGTGCAGCTGACGGTGGTGATGATGAGGATGCGATGTGGTATTAGTAGTAGTGGTTGTATGCGATTGTTAATGGTGTTCGCTTGCTGAACTAAAATGTAATGATTCAATCAGCGTGTCAATTATCAACTCTGATGAAAAAGTTTTTTCCCAGAGACCACACTGATTTATCAGGGTGTTTTCACACAACGACCCTGACAGAAAGTTTTTTTTTTTTGTACTAACACTGACCAGAAAGTGTTGACAAAAACCAATCTGAGGCCCTGACTGGAAGGGATGAGTATGTGAGGGAATGTGACTGAAAGGGATGTGTATGCGAGGGAATGTGACGAAGGGATGAGTATATGAGGGAATGTGACTGAAAGGGATGTGTATGCGAGGGAATGTGACTGGAAGGGATGAGTATGTGAGGGAGTTGGGTCTGATTGCATCCCACACAATCATTTGATTGGAAGGGCTGGAGGGGATGAGGATGCAAGAAATGAGTCAGATTGCAACTGTGAGGCCGTGGCAGCCGGATTTGAAAGGATGAGCATGTGAGGCAGCAAGATGGAAAGAAATGAGTATGTGAGGCATTAGGATGGAAGGACTAGGGTGGGTGGGAAACAGCAAGAAAGAACCCAAGTAAAGAGAGAGCAAGTGCTGAGTTGGGGAACAGAGGGAAATACCTAGGCTGGGAAACAGAGAGGAAGGACTGGGGTGGGAAACAAAGAGAAAAGGCTGGGTTGAGAAACATGGAGAATGGATTGTGTTGGGAGAAAGAGAGAGAAAGGACTGGGTTAGGAAACAGATTGAGAAGGCCAGGTTGGGAATCAGAGGGAAAGGACTGGGGTGGGAGAGAGAGAGATTGAGAATGGACTGGGGCGGGAAACTGAGAGAAAGGGCTGGGTTGAGAAACAGAGAGAAAGGGCAGGGATGGGAAACGGAAAGAAAGCAACTGAGGCTGTTGAATGGAAAGGGGTGAGCACGTGAGGCAGCAGGGTTTAAAGGAGAAAATGCATTGAGCACTTCTAAGCTTGCTTATTGTTCACAAACACAGTACTAGCAAACCCCTTGCCTAAGCTACAAGAGCTTCTAGCAATTCTACTCCGGCCCTTCGAGCAACTTCTCTTGCACTACCAAGGCTTCTTGCTTTGTCCTTGCCCTAGCATTCTCCTCACATTTCCTTCCTGGCCTAATAAGTTAGCGCCCATAGCAGCAGGACCCACCTGAACCCATGCCGCGCCTACAAGCACATTCCCTACAGTCACGTGTCCTGATTCCAAGACTGACGCCCTCCTAGAGAATCCCGTTCTCTACGGTCACAAGCAGTACAGAGCGGTGTGGAACGGTTTCAAGAGAGCACAAGCCACGAGTTGACTTCAGCGAAGGCGGCAGCAGTGTAGGAGGCGCCGTTGGAGATGATCCCAGGGTCCACCCAGTCGGCGCGCGACCCCTTTGCGCCCGGGCCCTTGCTGCCAGCCTCCGCGAGGAACATGCAGCTGCCCTCGTTCCACGACAGCCAGCCGTCCGGCTGGATGACGGCCGGCAGCACGACGTTCACCAACACCGTGAACGCGCACTTCTTCCACGGCCGCCCCAGGTACGCCTTCGCCGCGCCCTTGTCCGCGCTCACCACCGAGTCGCGAATCACGATCCCTGTCGGCGTGTCTTTGGCGCGGCCCGACGCGGTGAGCGTGATGAACGACTTGCTGGGATGCAGCTGGATTTTCGCCTTCTCAATGACGGCGGCCGCGTCGCCGAATATGAAGTCCTGCGTGCCGCCGATGTAGCAGTTGGAGTAGAACTGCCGCCCCGCGTCCACGTACAGCGTATCTTGCGAGCCTTCGAACGCGCAGTCGATCGCCGCCGACTGGTCGCCCGTAGCGCGGAACGCTACAGCCTGGTGGTTCTCCGGGCCGGCCGTGTTCACGAATTTGATTCCGAATGCGACAAAACGGTCGCTGTTCACGCCGACCGTCGCCGAGTCGAACGTGCTCGACCCGCTGCCGTAGCTTTCGTCGTACGTGATCACTGTAGCGCCGGCGCCGGCCCCAATAAGGATAATATCGGGGGTGTCTATAACGACTTGCTCACGGTACGTGCCGGCGGGGATGTAGATTACGTATTGGCTGCCGCCGGGCGCGGCGTCAATCGCGGACTGGATCTTCCCTTTCACGACGGCGTTGGCCTTCAGTCCCTTGCTCGCGCGAATAGGACCAGAGGCGGGTTTCGCGCTGCTGCCCTTCTTGCTCTTCCCCTTGCTCTTGTTCTTGTCCTTCTTGCTCTTGCTGCTGCTGCTGCCGCCGCTGCTGCCCTTGTTCTTATTCTTGCTCTTCTTATCCTTCTTGTCCTTCTTATCCTTGTCGTCATCGTCGTCATCATCGTCGTCATCGTCGCGGTGTCGCAGCTCCCGCCGTGCGACTTGGTCGTGAACAGCGTCGCCCAGGGCGTTCAACTCCGCCTGAAGCTGTCGCAGCTGTGCGACAAAGTCGTCATCCAGCCACTTGGCGCCTCGTGCGACATCAGCGGGCTCGGACGACGCGAGCTTGCGACCCAACTCGGGTGGGCCGGCCGCAGCCTTCTTGGCGATGGCGACGACGGCTTCCAGCGTATCGCTCGCCTTGTTCGCGACGGTCTGCGACGGGATAGGAGGCAACAGATACCAATGAGACAAGGCGTGTTCCTTAATGTGTTACAAATGCTACGTTTTGTTATGGCGGGTGCGGGTGGGGCGACAGGGGGAGCGGGGGCGGAGGGAAGGGGACGGGAATAAGGGGGGAGGGGCTTACCTCGAGATGCACGAATGCGGGCTGGAATGTCGCGGAGGGCGCGAGCGTCTTGAAGCCGTCGACGCAATTCTCGACTTGCGTGCTGGCGGCGGACAGCCAGAACGCGCGATCGTGCTGCGCGCTGTCCGAGTCGATCGCGTCCAGCGTGCGGCCCAGGTAGCGCAGCGCGATGCCGCCCTGCGTGCTGCAGTCGTCCGCCACGACATTAACGAAGTGGTTCCCGCGGACATTGGCGCGCTTGATCTCCGCGGCGGCATCGATGATCGCGGAGACCTGCGCCGCCACCGCGGAGACCATGGCGGCCGTGACTGCGTCCGCGGCCTGCGGGAGGACGCTGAGTTGCCGGCGTGCGGCGCGGAACTCCTGGGAGCAGAGGGTGGCGTTTGACACGCCGGTGCAGAGGGTGGGATGTGAGATGACGAGGTAATTGTCGGCCATGTAGCAGCACGAGACTATGGCGAGGACCACTCCCATACCTGCGACAGCCAATGAGGCAGCGCGTTGAAGCCCCATGATGGATACTACGGTGAAGTAGGTAATAATGAACTCTCAAACAGGAATGGTAGTCGCTGTGGAAGGTTGCGTTGAGATAAAAGGCAAATTGTATCGCCTGATTTATGTTGCTGCTTGTTGTGCTGTGGTGGTTCATTTGCGAGAGAACATGTCCCAGATTCATCAAGGGCGTGCGGTTCGGCGAGAGGAGGAGGGGGTCGGGGCGGGCGGGACGCCTGGTTGGCTGGTTGCGCTAATGTGTGTGGGTTGTATCTGGGAGGGGCGTGACTACAGAGAAAGCCGAGTCGCAGGGGCCTGTGAATGCTTACTTTGATTGGTCAATCCCCCCCTAATCTCACTCGATTGTGTGCAAAAGCTACTGAAAGCGGCAGGGGAATTCGGCTAACGAAGGGTTACGAGATTCGCTAAACCTAGTCGCCAGGGATGGTCTGCGAACCTCGTGACACTCTTTTACATCGCATTCGTTTGTGTGTTGCTTCTCCCAAAAAGATTTCTGGTTGGGATTGTTCAGCCCTGACCGTGCCGCTCAAACTGGCGCTGCAGCACAAACGAGCGATAACAGCAGCGGGATCTGCTTGACGAATCACGATTGTAACGAATGTAGCGTTTATGTCAAAACAATGCCTTGAAGAGGATAACCCGATACAAACTATCATTCTAACCACTTATCCTACCTACCCTTCCACTTTCATCATAGAGTAAATTGGCTTCGCTCAATATTAGCAAATCTGATTACATTCGTTCCATTTATCAGGGAGATTATGTGCTAATTGAGTTCATATTCTTTACAACGTCCTAGTCTAAGCATTCTTCTATGGGCTGTTCATTATTACAGCCATGCGACAAAACACAACCAAGCATGAAAGAGTGCTGCCGGGATATCAATTCCAACAGGGTCCGGCAGCCAAGAAGAACCCTCCTTTTCCATGCTATCGCGTTAGAAGAAGCAGAACCAAGCACAAGAGAAGACTTCTGCAGTTTCCTTTTCCAAAGACGCCCTGTACTGCGCCTCAAGACCAGACCGAAGCATGAAGAATTGCTGCGTCCATAAAGGGCTTCCCTCCACTTCCTCCTCTCCATCATCATCATCACCCTCCTCCCCCTCGCTCTGTCTCGGTGTGAATCGAATCAGATCAGACTGAAGCGTGAACAGTAGGTTCGCCCCTAGCAGGGCTTCTCTTCGCTTCCTCCTCTCCATCACCACCCTCCTCCCCCTCGCTCTCCCTCACTGCCTTCCAGCATGGCTTATTCGCCCCTCCTATGCGCGCCTCTGCTGCAGCCGGAACCCCTGGAGGTGAGGATCAGGAGAGAGGGAGACGGAGAGAGGGAGGAGGAGATAGGGAAAGGGAGAGAGGAGACAGGGAAAGGGAGAGAGGAGATAGGGAAAGGGAGAGAGGAGATAGGGAAAGGGAGAGAGGAGATAGGGAAAGGGAGAGAGGAGATAGGGAAAGGGAGAGAGGAGATAGGGAAAGGGAGAGAGGAGATAGGGAAAGGGAGAGAGGAGATAGGGAAAGGGAGAGAGGAGACAGGGAAAGGGAGAGAGGAGATAGGGAAAGGGAGAGAGGAGATAGGGAAAGGGAGAGAGGAGATAGGGAAAGGGAGAGAGGAGATAGGGAAAGGGAGAGAGGAGATAGGGAAGGGAAGAGAGGAGACAGGGAAAGGGAGAGAGGAGACAGGGAAAGGGAGAGAGGAGATAGGGAAAGGGAGAGAGGAGATAGGGAAAGGGAGAGAGGAGATAGGGAAAGGGAGAGAGGAGATAGGGAAAGGGAGAGAGGAGATAGCGAAAGGGAGAGAGGAGATAGGGAAAGGGAGAGAGGAGATAGGGAAAGGGAGAGAGGAGATAGGGAAAGGGAGAGAGGAGATAGGGAAAGGGAGAGAGGAGATAGGGAAAGGGAGAGAGGAGATAGCGAAAGGGAGAGAGGAGATAGGGAGGGAGAGAGGAGATAGGGAAAGGGAGAGAGGAGAGACCGCAGCAGGAAGAGCTTATGAATGTCTTTGACACACAGAGACATTGGCCCGCAGGAGATTGGCCTCTATGCCCCGCCTCTGGCCCAACTGCCTTCCACCACGGCCCCCTCCCAATGCGCGCCTTGGCTTTTGAGGCGCTTCAAAAGTCCCCCCCTATGCGCGCCTCCGCTGCCACTGGAATGTGAATACATGGCCTCTGTTTTGACCTTGAAAACATGGTCTTCCCCCCTTTTGAAAACATGGCCTCTGTTTTGACCTTGAAAACATGGCCTCCCCCCCTTTTGAAAACATGGGCTCTGTTTTGACCTTGAAGCTTCCCCCACGCTCTCCTCCAGTACCTTCCAGATGGAAGGCGGAAGGAGGAGAGGAGAAGGCGGCCGCGAGAGACGGACGGAAAGCGACTAGGCCAGAACAGGCCTCGTTTAAAAAAAAAAAAAAAAAAAAAAAAAAAAAAAGGGTATTTGATTTAATGAATGACCCCTGCTTGTGAAACATGGCCTCTGTTCATTTGAAACATGGATAAATCCCTGCCGTCCTCCCGCCACCACCCAACCGCAGCACTCTCCCTTTTATTACACTCACCCTCTTGGTGAAATATTCCCCACACTGTTGCTGTGCGTCCCGTCTGCACAGGCATACCAGAAAGAGTTGGTTATAACGGGCGGACCGGGGTGCAGGGGAGGGCGGAGAGGGGGATGAGTGACAGCAACATGTGTGATTGTTAGCTCAGTGAGAAAACTCCACGTACAGAGAAGGGAAAAGGGTGCTGGAATGACTTTTTGAGTCAACTCAGAGGGGACCTCACGTGATTGGGAAGGGAAATGGGAACTCAGAGGAAAGAGGGGAACAGAGAGGGTAGAGGGTAAGAAAGGAAGGGCAATTCTCGGAAGGAGGGCATAGGCGTTGGTGGAGTGGAGTGGGGGATGGTGGGGATGGGTAGAGGGGGGTTGGGAAAGGGGAAGAATATTCACAGTAGGAATATCTGAGACCAGCGAATGAGGCTCTACTCTGATTCTGCCTTATTATTATTATTATGTATTTCCAGGATTTATCGGTTTTGCTTTGTTTTGTTTTGTTTGTTTTGTTCTGATTTGTTTTGTTTTGGTTTGTTTTGATTTGTTTTGTTTTGTTTTTTTCTCCAAACACCAGGAGAGGAAACACAAGAAGGATCCTGAACAAACCTTGGCTATTTGAACTCGCGAAACTTCGTAGAAGGTGCCTTCCTGCCAGTGCCGCTTCGCCACTCTAGCGCCTTGGCCCCACGCGGGGTGCCGCCACAGAATATCCGCCAGATTCTGCCCGCGCCGCCTCTTGACTTGCCCTTGCTTCAGAACCTTCGCGTCGGCTTCCTGAGAGTCCTCGCTCTGATTTTGCGAGCCAGAAGATTCTTTTTGTAACGACGGGCTGCCCGGGAAAAGCGGAAGCGGTTTCAGCCCCAAGCTAAGCAATAGCGAATCGGCGCCGGAAACTTCGATGGGTTTCGTCGCGGCGGCGGATCCGGCGGCTAATGCGGCGGGAGGTGCGGCGGGAGAAGCGGAGAAGGTCGAGTGGACGGAGGTGGATGCGTATCGGCATGAAAGAAAACGCGACGTGGCAGGAAAAATGCGCGGCGGCGGGTACAGTGGTGCGGGAATTCGGGCGGAGGTTACGGGCGGTTCGGCTAGAGGGGGGAAGATCGGCGCGGAGCAGAGGCCAGGCGGCGGAAGCCCGTTGCGGGGAAGGCGGAGCGAGCTTTGCGCGTTTTGCGCGCCTTGCGCGGTGAAGCCTGTGCGCGGAAGCCCACGGCGCAAGACCGCAGTTGCCAGGCGGCGCAAGTCATCGCCGCGAGACATTTCGAGTTCGCGGGGTGCTCCGCTGAAAGCGGCGGAAACTGCGGAAGGAGGAGTGACGGGACGGAACGAGAATACAGAGGCGGCACAGGGAGGAAAACGGAAAATCGGGAGTTCAATATACTCGATATATTTCAACCTCAGTAACAGGCTCGATGGAATGAGACTTGACCCACATACCAACATAAGATTCCACTAATGGCCTTTTTTCTTCGATAAAGTATGCTTTCAGTATTGAGTGTGGTCTCAGATAGGCACTAGAAGCGAAAATGCTCTGCATAACTTCATAGGTTCATTACAACATTACATTGGCAAGTTTTGAACACAACCATCCCTCTTGTTCGGCCCTGCCCAAAAGGTACACCTATATCTGCTACTGCTGTTTCTCCCTCTCCCATCACACGCCAGCCAGCTGCGACCATCCCGCCATGTCACCTGAAGGAGCGTAGCGATACGCTCGAACACGCCCCGCCAGCGATAATGGCCCCAGAGACACTTCTATATCCACTGCTGCTGCTGCAGTGGTGGCAGTGGCATTGGCAGCAGACCCTGAAGAGGAATAGGCACCAGCAGCACCGGCAGCAGAATAACCACCACTAGCAGTAGCAGCAGCTGCATTTGAAGCAGCAGAGCCGCCAAAAGCAGACGAGAACATGGCAGCTGCGGCAGAGGTAGCAGAGGAGGCGTTGGGACCAAGAGCAGGGGAGGGAGAAGAGGAAGAGGAGGAAGAAGAGGAGGAGGTGGTTGTGGTGGCGGTGCTGGTAAGATCTTCTTTGGAGGAATAGAGGTCGCCTATCAGCTCAATGGAAAGGATTCGGATGCCCGCGATTGGTCGAGAGAAGTCGAAGTAGAGAGGCGTGTTGGGCCGGGCAGCGGGCAGAATGAATTCCGTGATGACCGTTGCAGGGCCAAAGGAGTCCTGCGATGCGGGAAGGACGCCGGGGAGAGGAGAAAAAAAAACGAGGGGTAAGGGCGAAGAAGGTTCGAGACGTCCCACGAATAAATTCTGTAATGGTATAAGCGAGGCCAAATGGGTTTTAGTCCGACTCAAAGGTCAAAAGATGGCCAAAGAAGTTATTTTAAGGCGCCTTAAATGCTTTGAGACATCTTACGAATAGATTTTGTAATGGTCACAGTGAGGGCTAAGGAGACTTGCGAGGAGAGTCGAAGTGGTAAGAGGGGTTGAAGAAAAGGCATTTGGAGAGGAGCGAGCGGGTGGGGGGAGGGGAGTGGCGGGGGGAAATACAGGAAAGGGAGGATTGCACAGTGATTCAGAGTAATGAGATAAATTCGCTAAGGACGCGAGCATTCACACTGTTCAAAGAGAAAATGTGGGAGCGGTGAACGTTAAAAAGAGAGAGGGTAGTGTGTTACGAACTACCCACCTGCCGAGCTGATACTCTTAGTCGGAACGGGACAACAAACGCCGCCCACTCATCCATGAGCCCGCCCCGCGCCGCCCGAGCCAGCGGCCCGCCGTCTGCTGCCCCGGGCAGCGAAAGAAACATTCCAGCGGAACGGTCCAATGGGAGCGCGTCTAGTCGGATGCCCGAGATTGGAGGAGAGGAAACAGGCAGAAGAAGTTCCAGAATCCTTCCTCCTGCCCACACTCTCTCCCCTTCCACTGGGGTCTGAGAGAGAGAGGTTAATGGCAGGGAGAAGAAGGGGGGATAACAGGGGCAGGAGAGGGTTAGTTCTGAGAAATATTACAATACACCGGCAACAAGAAATTCCAACATCCTTCCACACTCTCTCCCCTTCTACTGGGATCTCTGAGCGTGAGGGCAATCACATAACAAAGAGAACGGCAGGGGAATAAATGAAAGTAACAAACGGAATGCACACACAATAGGAAGTTCAGGTTACTGCTGTAGCACATAAGCTGCTGTAGCACATAAGCTGCTGTAGCACATGAGCTGCTGTAGCGCATGAGCTGCTGTAGCGCATGAGCTGCTGTAGCGCATGAGCTGCTGTAGCACATGAGCTGCTGTAGCACATGAGCTGCTGTAGCACATGAGCTGCTGTAGCACATGAGCTGCTGTAGCACATGAGCTGCTGTAGCACATGAGCTGCTGTAGCACATGAGCTGCTGTAGCACATGAGCTGCTGTAGCACATGAGCTGCTGTAGCACATGAGCTGCTGTAGCACACTGAAGGCTGTGACGCACGTACCCGCGATCGACTCATTGGTGCCGAGGCCTCCAGAAACTGCTCAAACTTCCACCTACTCGTGCCAGCATCACCAGCAGCAGCACTCCCTGCTGTAGCACACTCACACTGCTGTGGCATGCTGCTTTAGTAACGGTATAGCTCAGCGCACGTACCCGTGATCGGCTCATTGGTGCCGGGGCCTCAAGCAACTGCTGATACTCCCACCTACTCGTGCCACCAGCAGCAGCACCACCAGCACCAGCAGCAGCAGCACCAGCAGCACCCATAGTCCCAACCGCAGCACCAGGGGCACCACCAACGACTGCTCCCATGGGCACAGCTGCAGCCCCACTGGAGGTCACGGGATCAATTCCTGTCGGGTCACCAAATGTTTTCTGCCCGTAAACGCGGATTCTGCGAGCCCAGATGCAAGAGGAGGAAGCGGCAGAGCCAGGCTGGCGGATTTCGGGCAGGAGAAATTTCAGCCAGACGATCCGGCAGGGGGCGGCGGCGGCGGGCAGGGTGTAGGATAAGATCAGCTCGGATTCGAGATTTGATTTGGTGTCAGAATGGGCGGCAGCGGCTGAGGACGGGAGGTCCCAGAGGCCTATTGTGGTGCACTCTGATTGGTCGATTGTGGTGCTGAGGGAAATGCGAACCTGCAACAAGAGGGAGAGGGACGGAGGGAGAGAGGGGTTATTAGGGAATTCGGTTTTTGAGCCGTCTAAGAGATTGAGGGAAATGCGAACCTTCGACAAGGGGGAGAGAGGGCGGGGAGATGAGGGCGTTTGAACGAACTTGTGAAATGTCTCAGAAGAGACAAATGAAACTAGCCTCAGACGACTGGAAAACATTTGCAGATTCCCAAGAGTCTCTCGAAAGTGCATAACGAATCGAGAGACAAGGAGAGAAATATAGCTACCTCTCTCCGGCGCAGAGTCACCTTGGGGGTGTGATGGGGCGTGTACTGAGGAAGGCCTGAGTGAAGCACGACGCGGGAGACAAGGGCGGGCGAGGAGAGCACGATGGCGATTTCCACCGCAGTGAGATCGGAGGGAGCCCGCCACACAGAGGAGAGAGGGGCGGAAGGGGAGGCGGCGAGGAGGAGCGAGTTGGCAGGAGATGCAGATGCATCTGTGGGGACCTGCATGTAGGCATAGGAAGGGAAGGGGCAGCAGTGACAAGGTGAGGAACCGGGGAGAGAGGGGCGGAAGAGGAAGCGGGGAGGAGGAGCGAGTTGGCAGGAGCTGCAGATGCATCTGTGGGACCTGCAAGTGTGGGCGAGGGGAAAAGGAGAGGGGGGACAGAAAAGATGAAACAGAACGAGGAGAGGGGACAATAATGGCGAGACACAAGGGCGGGCGAGGAGAGCATGATGGCGATCTCCAGAGCAGTGAGGTCGGAGGGTGTGATAAGTCGATTTTTGAGTCGACTCAAAGCTCGCCAGACGTGCTTTTGAGTCGACTCAAAGCTCGCCAGACGTGCTTTTGAGTCGACTCAAAGCTCGCCAGACGTGCTTTTGAGTCGACTCAAAGCTCGCCAGACGTGCTTTTGAGTCGACTCAAAAGCTGAGATCGGCGGGCGCTCGCCCGCCAGACGTGAGAGAAAGGGGCGGGAGGGGAGGTGGGGAGAAGGAGCAAGTTGGCGGGGGCTGCGGTTGCATCTGTGGGGACCTGCATGTGGGCAAGGGAAGGACGGGGGGCGGGGAGAAGGAGCGAGTTGGCGGGGCTGATGAGGCGCATGTGGGGACCTGCGGGTAGGTTTTTGAGTCGACTCAAAAGTCAAGGCGCATGTGGGGACCTGCGGGTAGGTGAGGGATGGAGGGGGGGGACATTTGAGTCAACTCACAACTCGTGAAGGAAGGGGGGGGACGGTAAAGGTGAGACAGGAAGGAGGGCAAACACTCGAATGAGAGGAAAATTTCGAATGAGAGGGAGAAACACTCGCCTCCACTCCACACCAGCACGCACCAAGAACAGCAGGCCAGCGTGTGGCAACTCTGTTAGAGAAACCTCCTCCCCTCCACTCTCTCCCCCACAGCTCAGTTGGCTACTTAAAACATCCTACCTGAGGGGCCAAACACCTATACCAACACTCACCTCCACACCAGCACGCACCGAGAAGAGCAGGCCAGCGTGTGGCAACTCTGTTAGAGAAACCTCCTCCCCTCCACTCTCTCCCCCACAGCTCAGTTGGCTACTTAAAACATCCTACCTGAGGAGCCAAACACCTATACCAACACTCGCCTCCACACCAGCACGCACCGAGAAGAGCAGGCCAGCGTGTGGCAGCTCAGCTAGAGACACCTCCTCCCCTCCATACCCTCCTCCTCTCGACATCACCGGTACCACAGGCGCCTCTCGCCACTCCCCTCCATCCCTCCCTTCTCTCCCTTCTCTCCCTCCCCCACCTCGGCTCCCTTCCCTCGTTTCTCCCCTCCCCCGTCCCAAATCATCCATCCCGCTGCTTCTCCTTCCAGCCAAACCAGCGCAGCCCCAATCCCGAGCCTCAGCCACGGCTCTCCCGAGCCTGTCTCGCCGCCGCCGAGCCTGCAGCTGGCGCACCCGACGCAAGAGCACAGCATTGGAAACAGCAGGAGGGCAGCACTCGCGGCATATGGGAGCATCTAGAGGCCCGGGCCTCCCAGGCCCTTCCGATGCTGTTCCTCCCCCTAACCCCTCTCCCCCCACTCCTCCTCCTGCTCCCCCCCCTCCTACTCCTGCTGCTGATGAAGACGAGGAGCTTCCTGGAAGTTTCCAGCCTCCTGCTGAGGCTATACCAGAAAGGGACGAAGCGGAACCGCTTTTAATCACCCTACCCAAGCCACCACCAATACCACCTCCGCCACCGCCGCTGCCACTGTTACCACTGCTGCTACCACCACCCATGTTGATGATACTGTTGGTGCTAATGCTCCTAGCGCTACCCCCACCACCGGTGATGCTCCCACCGCTGCTAGCCCCGGCGAGAAACCCGCTTCCCGGAACTGCCAGGCAGGCTCGGCAGACCCGCCGGCGGCACCAGGTGCAGGCTGGGAGGCCCCGCCGAACCTCCATGTCCACATCTTCCGAACCGCTTCCTGAAGTCCGGCTGCTGGTTCGTCCCGTGCCACTGCTTTCCGAGCCTCCTGCACCGAACTTAACATCACAGTTTGGGCCGACACAGGCCAGACCAGGACTCACACACCCCCAACCAGTGTAGTGGCCGTGAGGGGCCCATATATGCGCACACTGCCTGCTCTTACCCTGTTCTTTCTTACTTCCCTCCGCTCCCTCCTCGCCCTCTTCTCCCTCCTCTCCCTCACCACCATCTCCTTCATCTCTCTCATCTCCCAAGCCGGCCAACAGCCCGTTTCCTCTCCACCAGTCACATTCCTGCTCCACCTCCCCCCTGCCACCACTACCATTTCTTCTTCCTTTCTCTCCCGCACTCGCACTGCCCCTCCCCTTCCCCTCCCCTCCCTCCCCCCACTCGCCTCCATCCCCCTCTTCTCCCCTCGCCCTGAACCCCATCGCGCCTATCTCTGCATCCTCTCTCGCGGTGAGACACGCCGATGCCAGGCTGGCAGCCAGCTGGCGGCACAGCAGCGCATCGGGCACGCTGACGTGGCGGTTAGGATCGAGGAGGGGCGCGGGAGTTGCGGGGGAGGCGGAGGATAAGGAGGAGGAGGAGGCGGGGGGAGGAGAGAGGAGGGCGGAAAGGATGGCGTCTCGTTGGGAGGCAGAGAGTGAGAGGCGCAGGCGAGCTATTTCAAGCTCCATGGCTGCTGAGAAGTCGATGGAAGAAAGGGAATGGCCCTGTTGGGTGGGACAAATTGGGAAGGCGGGGGAAAGGAGGGAAGGGAGCGAGAAGGGGAGGAATAAGAGAGGGGACTTGAAAAAGAGTAGAGTCAAGTATGTGGAGAAAGGAAACAAATATGGGAAGGAGAGATTAAAAGGGTAATGGCGAGTGATCGAATTATAGAAGGCACGATGCTTAGATAAGTTCCAGTGCTCTCCAGTGAGTACCTTCTTGGGCAGCAAAACCTTTCGTAGCAGCTGCCCGAAAGCAGCAGCGCCCCACTGCTCACAAACGTTCTCACTAATCCCTTGAGCTACTCTCACTATCTTCTCCACCACCTCCTCCTCCCTCTCCTCCTCCCGCTCCTTTTCCCCCGCCCCGTTCCCTCCTCCTCCTCCCTTTTCCCCTTCCCTTAACCGCACAGCTGCGTCTGCTCCTGTCACATGCGAACCCACACCCGGCCTTGCTTGGGAACCACCGTCTCCTTGAATCAAATCGAATACACCACTCTTTTGAGAATTCTCAAAAGGGACTCCAATATAACTCTCCTGTTGCCTTGGTGCGAGCTGAGAGTGGGATATACCGCTCCCCTGCTGGTCCCTTTGAACGCGCGCTTCTGGGCTGTGGGGAGGAGACGATGGTGAGTCAGCTTCTGTTGCCATGAGAGGGTGCCACGTGGCCGCTGCTGGTTGGCTGGCTGCCGGGGGATGGAAAGAGGCCCACTCAAGTTCACCAGAAGTAGAAGGAGCCGCTGCTGCTGTCGCTGCTCCTGCGGCTGTCACTGCTGCTGCTGGTGTTGCTGTCACTGCTGCTGTTGCTGCTGCTGTTGCTACTGCTGAATCTGTGGACGGTGCATCAAAGGACATCCACCCACCAGGCTGGCTGCTGCTGCCGCTGCTCGCTGCGATGCCAGTACCAGTTGTGCCACTAAAGGCTGTGCTTGTATCGAACGACTCCCACCCACCCGGCTGCTGGCTGCTGTCTGCACCACTGGCCACACCGAAAGGATTATGGGAAGCAGTATTGGCAGCACCGCTGCTGGTGCTGCTACTGGTTTGGAATCCTCCATTATCCAAGCCCCCAAAAGACTCCCACCCCCCTGGTTGGCTCCCACCCATCCCTGCTGCCGCTGTTGCTATTGCTCCTGCCGGCCCCACTGCTGCTGCTGTTGCTGCTGCTCGCCCTCCTGTTGCTGTGCCTGCAGCTGCCCCTGCCCCTGGTCCCACTCCGTTTGCTCCCATGCTCAGCCCTCCCACCGAGCCTACCAGATCAGCCTCGGCAGCAGATCCCAGGGCTGCGGAACCAGCTACGGAAGCAGGTTCGGTGAAGGGGTTGGTGGACGAAGCAAACGGGTCAGTGAATCCCGAACTGAACGGATCAACTTGAACAGTTGCACATGCACCAGAAGCAGACAAAGATGCCGGCCCAAAGGGGTCAAAACCTGCAGCAGTCCCTGCAGCAGAAGTGGCAGCAGCTGTAGCAGCTGTAGCAGCAGGAGAGATTGAGATCCAGCCACTAGAAGTCAAATCTGCTGTAGTTTCTGCTGCAGCGGTGGCAGCGGAGCTGCTTGTGCTTGTGTTGAATGTGCTTGTAACGGGTGCAGAGAAGAAGTCGTCCATGAGGTTCACCGTGCCCGAACCTGTGGCCTCCATAGCCTGCATCATGCGGTTCGGCGAGCTCATCAGGTCCGGAACCAGGCTCGGCGCTGCTGAACCTGGTGCATCAATTGACTGGAAGTCGAAAAAATCCCGAGGTTCGGAAGGAGGAAGAGCAGGGTGCGTAGTAGGATGTGAGGGAGCGAGAGCGGTAGTGCTAGAGAGGGGCATAGGAATCGCATCGTCCATGAGATTGGCCAATGGCGAGCCGCCACCTGGCATCCATGTCGCTGTTGGTGCAGCGGCAGCTGTAGCAGCAGCAGCAGCAGCAGCAATCTGCTGCGACTGTAGCACTAGGAGCAGCAGCCGAAGAAGGGTCGGTGGTAGGAGCAGGAGGAGCAGGAGGAGGAGAGGGGAGGAGGGAGAGGATGGATGGACAAGCACCGTGGGAAGAAGAGGAGGAGGAGATGGAGGAAAGGCGCTGAAAGTCATGGCGTGTGGGTGTTATGCCTAGGACCTCGATCTGTTGTGGTGGAGACCGCAAAGTTCGGAGGTACAAAGGGGTGCGGGGGGGTTACAATACAAGGGGGAAGAAGTGGTAAAAAGGGCGGGTAATGTCACAGTGCCATAAAACACAACACACACCAGAGGTGAGAACTGGTAATCACCATAGACGTAGTACCAGCAGTGCGCGCAGCACAGGAATCTGGAACCAGCAGCAGCAGCAGCAGCAGCAGCAGCAGTAAAGGTAATGAAGGCAGCATCAGAGGTAGCGGCAACAGCCATTGGTAAGCAACAGATTTCAAAGCAGTCAGCATACCTGCCCAAGAGTCATAGGGGAACCAGAACTGCTGGCACCACCACCGCCACCACCAAAGGCGGCGGCGGCGGCAGGCAGCAGCAGCAGCAGCAGCAGCAGGCGGATAGAAGGTGAGCGAGACAAGGCAAGGGGTAGAGTGGTGCGATAGTGTTACAACAAAGACACCAGATTGGAGAATCAACGCACCTGTCCGAGAGTCATGGGGGATCCAGAACTGCCGGCACCACCACCGCCACCACCAAAGGCAGCAGACGCAGCAGCGGGCGGATAGAAGGTGAGAGAAACAAAGCGGGTCAAAAAGTCGATTTTCCCATCGCCCTCCTCTGTGTAGTCATAGAGCAGCGATGAGGATACAGCCCCTCCCCTCGCATGCACACCCTGCTGCTGTTGATACCCATTGCCCTGCTGCTGCTGCTGCTGCTGCTGCTGCTGATACGCACTGCCCTGCTGCCCTATATATCCCTCCACAAACACAGGGCCTGAGGCAGACCCGGCCCCACCATAGCCCAGCGCTCCCCCACTGATTGCCCCTGATTCATCGTACTTGTGTGCAGCAGCGGCATCTGAAGCAGCAGGAGCAGGAGCAGGAGTGGAAGACGCAGTGGAAGGACGGGTGGGCTTGGGTGCAGGGAGAGGGTATTGCAGGACTGTTCCGCTGGCGCAGCGGGGGATGGTGAGACCCTGCAAGAGGCATGAGTGGGGAGTGGAAACGAGAGTAGGAGAAAAGCACAATGAAGAAGCAAGGCGACGACGGTTAAGTAGAAGGGCCGTGATGGAAGGTGGTACTGAAGGGCTGTGCTGCTGTGCTCACCTCGGCAACTAGATGGAGCGAGTCGATGGTGTGTCGCGTCCCACCCCGCGCGAACATTGAAGCGAGTTGAAGCGAAGGAATCGACGAGTCAAAGGCTCATCTCGGCAAGAAGGCAAGAAGGAAACAAGCCAAAGGCTCACCTCGGCAACTAGATGGAGCGAGTCAATAGTGCGTCCCACGCGCACGTCAAAGCGGGGCGGAGCGAGGGAGTCATCAGCGCCATGGGCAACAGTGAGCAGCACGTGGGTCACATGGCAGGGCACCGCCACACTCACATGCACCTCCACCAGCGGCACCCACCCCGGTACCACCCACACCATGCCCTTGCCGCCCGCACCGGCACTGGCTGCAGCACCGGCACCATAAGGACTGATCAGCGCGTCGGTCCGGTACAGGCTCGGGAACAGGCTCGGGACCAGCCGGAGCACGTGCGCGTGCCCCGAGCCTCCTCCAGCGGAGGACGGCAGGGAGACGGTCAGAAGCGGGCGGTCGGGCAGCGCAAAGGAAAAATACTTGTGCCGGCGCAGCCCGAGAAAAACTTCCAGCTGCCGATGCCTGGTAGCGTCCCAAACCAGATTCAAAAACCTCCTTTGGAGGGAAATCCCAATGTTTGTCGCACTGGCAGCGGCGCCTTTCTTGGCCTTGCTAGGATCGCTGCTGAAGATGTGGATGATGTGGGAGTGCATGGCCCTGGAGCCGGTGTATAGCGTGGCGTGAACATCGCCGGCTATTGAAAAGAGGTCTGCAACGGCTGTGACGGCGGATGGGAGGACGGTGGCTTGGAATTCCCGCACGCTCATGTCTAGAGAGGCCCAGGCGTGGGAGAGAGTTGAGGGGAGTGGCGGGTGCTGACTCTGCTGCTGCTGCTGCTGTGAGGGGGAAAAGGAGGAGGAGGAGGAACCGGGGAAGGTAGCGACGCGAGGAGGGGGAGGGCAGGGGTGGGTCCAGGTGGTTTTGCGGGTGTTATGGTCGATGTAGAACACCTTGCTGCGAGATGGGTCCCTCCGCATCTCCCACCCGGGAGGCAAGGCTGCTGCTAACGCCTCCTCTTCCTCCTCCTGTGTTAGCTGTGCTGGCACTGCCACCCGGTTACCACCTCCACTCCACCCTCCTGCTCCTCCTGCTCCTCCTGCTCCTCCTCCTCCCGCTCCCCCGATACCGTCCCCTCCCCCAAACGCTGCGCTGTAATACTGGGAGAACTCGCTCCCGAAGCCTCCAACTGCTGCTGCTGCTCCTGTGTTTCTGCCTGGCATGGTACCTCCTCCTGCTCCTCCTCCGCCGCCTCTGGCCCATGCGGCGTCCAGGGATATTCCCAGGTGCTGGCACTGTTGCACAAACACCTGATGGGAAGATACGGAAAGGGGAGACACAGGCCAGGGTTCTTGTGAGTCGACTCAAAACGAGGTGCCTTTTGAGTCGACTCAAAACGTGGTGTCCCTTTGAGTCGACTCAAAGGCACTATGCTTCAGAAACACACACACGTGAGTGTGTGTGTGACCATCTGCCTCACCTGCAGCGCGCCAAAGGAGCTGGCAGCGTTGGTGCGATCAAGAGAATCAGCACACTCGAATCACACCACACCCTTCAGCAGCCTCACCACCTCAAACCCCCTTCTTTGCAACCCCACGTCCAAAATCATTGCCTGCTCACCCGCTCCCCCCTCCTCTCCCCCTCTCTCACCTGCACCGCGCCAAAGATGCTAGCAGCGTTGGTGCACTCGAGGGAATCAGCGCAGTTGATTTGCACCATGCCTTGCTGCCGCCTCACCACCTCAAACACCCCCAAAGCACATGCTCTACTGTGACCGTTACCCAGCACCACACACGTGCTTCCGAAGCTAACTCACCTGCAGCGCGCCAAAGAAGCTGGCAGCATTGGTGCGGTCAAGGGAGTCAGCGCAGTTGAATCGCACCATGCCATGCTGCCGCCTCACCACCTCAAACACTCCCCCCTGCAACCCCACGTTCCTAATCACCTGCTGCTCTCCCACTCCCACCTCCTCTCCCCCTCCTGCATTCCCGCCTGCCCCTCCCCCACCTTCTGCCCCTCTCCCACCGAACGTCCCTCCTCCACCTGACGCTCCTCCAGTTCCAGTTGCCACCTCCCCCTGGTGCCACCTCCCCACAGTGAACCCAATCCCCTGCAGAGGCACCTTCAGCCGCTGCCACAGCCCCTCCACAGTTGCCGCCTCCCCCACCGCCCTCGTCATCGCGTGCCAGTCGTACGTGAATAAGTCAAGCGACGCCGCCCGCAGCTCCGGGCGGCAGCGCGCGGAGCGGACGGCCTGCTGGAAGTGGTCGGAGAGAATCAGCTCGGGTTTGCCGACCCCGATTCTGAGCAGGTTCACGCAGACTATGGGGAACTTTCGGGGCGGCGGGAGGGCGGCGGGAGAGGAGGACTGAGAGGGAGGCTGAGAGGTGGAGTGAGAAGAGGAGAGAGAGGAGGAGGGGGAGTAGCGTCGTAGCAGCCGGGCAAAGTACGGAGCAATCCCTTCTGCCTGACTCTCTGCCACAAAAATCTCAGCATCCTGGATAGACGACTTAATCTCCGCTCCCCACCATATGGGCACCGTCCCCCTCCGCCAGATAAACGTTGAATACTCCACAGGAGGCCCTAGGGGTACTGGTGCTTGTGCTGGTTGCCCTAGTGCTGGTGCTGGGGAAGGGGATGGTGATGCTGATGGGGACTGGAAGGAGGATGGGTAGGAGGAGGAGGAGAGGGAGGAGAGGGAGGAGAGGGAGGAGGAGGGGGAGACCGAGGGAGAGGAGCCTGAGGAGAAACCTGGGGTTGAAGAGGAGAGGTTTCCAGGCGGCGGGGGGACCCAGACGATCTGCTCGCATTCCACCTCGTTGCCTGTCCCGGCAGCTGAGTTTATCCCGCGCGCCAGGTACCGCGTCCCCGGATGCAGCCTGCTCCGCCGCGCCAGGGACACCACGTGCGCCATGCGCGCGTTCGCGTCGGAGAACGCGCGCAGCTCCGCCAGCCCCTGCAGCAGCACCGCGCAGTGCGCGCGCAGGCCCAGCGCGCGGAAGGGCGCGGAGAGGAACTCGTTCCACGCGAATTCCCAATCTGGGTCCCATGGCGGGTGGGTGCTGGGGAATGGGCGAGTTATGTCTCTAGTCTCGCAGAAATAGTGCAAATCGGCGATTGACACGTCAGCTAGGTCTTGCACGGCTTTAGATTCGGATTTGGTTAAGGACGCGGCTCCGGAGGGGGATTTTAGCGGGATTTTGACCCATTGGGATTCGGTAACGGTGAAGATTGTATCGGGTCCGGACGGGAGGGATCGGACGGTGGCGCGTACGCGCGTCGCGACGAGGAGCAATCCGACGGTGTTGAAGGCGGCGTAGCCAATGAGCGCGCGGCCGTGCACGGCGGATCGGACGGCCACGGTGTTGCCACGTGTCGCGGCGAAGAGCGCGTCGGATTCGGTGCGGAAAACGTCGAGGCCGGGACGGTTGGCGAAGCGGAGCGCGCCGGTGACGGGATCGATGGAGATTAATTGAGTATTGGGGAGCGTGGAGAGGGACAGGAGGAGCACGAACTCGCCGGACTCGAGCTCGATAACATTCGCTCGCGTCTCGCGAAACGGCATCGCTGCCATGAGGAGGTGGCAAGGGGAAGGAGGCAGGGGGGAAATGGGGAGAGGGAAGGGGGGAAAGGGGGAGAGGGCAGGGGGGAATAAGGGAATTGCAGGTCAAGCCGGCCTCGAGCTCGATTACATTCGCTCGAGTCTCGCGAAACGGCGTCGCTGCCATCGGGAGGCGGAGAGATGAGGAACGGAAGTGGGAAAGGGGGAAGGGGGAGAGAGGAGGGTGGAATTCTTGAGAAGTAATACAGAAGTGTGACTGCGCCGTGGAACGAACAGTCCAACAGCAGTTCAGGAAGAGCGGAAAGCGATTCGAGATGTACTGTTACTATTGCCATTTAACTAGACTTACCTGTCCGCGTCGTCATATCGGAGATATTTTCTTGGTTGATGTCGTAGAGGCTTCTTGAGTATAACGGTTACGCTGCCAGAATCCCGAAAACAACAAAATTCGATCAAAACTTCAAAATCTGGCTTTGGAAAGCTTACGCGTCCCTTCCCTTCTCCCTTTTTCAATCGTTATCGTCCAGAAACTACCGAATATCGCGCGTTCCGTTATGAGGTCTACACCCCTATGTCGACAATCTTGAGTTCCTCACATCGATTCGCCGACGATTTCACTGAACTGAATTTCGAAACCTAGCAACGAAGCATCTCGGTGCTGAGAAAGCCGTAGCTTGTGTCCTAACTCGGTATTCTCTAGGTAAGGGTGGAGCGAAAGTCCCAAGCCATGGATTTGACACCATTCCTTCCACCTAAACCGAGCTAGCTTTTCTCGAGATTGAGATTCCTGAATCCTTCTAGGCTAGTGGCCGTTGAATCGGGCTTTCGAATGCTGTGATGAATCCGCAGTGTCCTCGACATTGCACCTCACTTGGTAGCGATTCGGTAAGCGTCAGCTTATCCAGTACAATTGATTGCCAAGTCACATGCACGAAGATACACATTTGCTCGTACAATTGGAAAACTTTGAGAATCACTGCTTCAGTAAACAAACCCTGTTGTCCATTATCAAATTATGTTGAAAACGAGGACAGCGGGAAACTCAATTCTCGTGTACTCAATTTAGTTTCTCCCACCCAATCCCAGTAGCTCAATTAGGTTACGAGTCGGGACGGGAAGCCTACTAATTAGCAGCCATTATTAGCTAGTGAACCTTCGAACCACTTTAGTTACTAGGTATCGTGGCTCGTGAGTCGTACTATAGAGATTTCCTGTGTGTCAGTGATTGGTTCCAAACGTCGCGATCCGTCAGTTACACTGTTACCACATTGTCCCATACAGTCGCCAGCAGCGGCCACTGGCCAAATTCGTGAGTCGCCCCGTTCTCCACGCCCGTGCCATGCGCTGTTGTCTTACATTCACATTTCCATCCCTCCTTTCTTTCTTCTTCATCTTCACCTTACTGGATCCTTTCCCCTGTTTTCCCACGCGGGTTCCCTTCTTGACGCATCCTTCTGATGCATCTGGTTTTGGAAACAGAGAGAGAGAGAGAGAAAAAAACGAGTTTGTTGAAACTTTCAACGCCTGACTGCGTCCATCCTCTTTTCAACCTCCCTCACAGTCCGCTATGGCGCCAGTAGCGCCGCGAGCAGCGCCGCATAACCCGCCGCAGTCGGCGCCGCAGCGCGCACTGCAGCTGGACCAGCAGTCGACGATGGATCTAACCCTAACGGTCCTGCAGCGCATGGATCCCGCCGTCGCCGAGATCCTGCTGACCGTCGGCCACGTCACCGTGTACGAGTTTGACGTGGCAGCTTCCTCTTGGGTGCGTACCGTGACATAGAGCTTACGCGGCATAGAGCGTGCGTGTCTTTCTGTTGCAACTGCCGTCGCAACCGCCAGACTAGAGTCGCTTTGAGAATTTCCAGAAGCAAGTGCTGTTGCAAGCACCGTTGCAAGCACTGCTGTGTGCTCCTATCCAATTCTTCCTGCTGTCTTTTGCTCCTGCTGCTATTCTCCTGGTGTTGTGACTGATGCCTCTGTGCGTTCAGTTATCAATACCGATCCAGTCCCACCCCTTCCCAACTCATAACACCCCATACCATCCCATTTAACCGCTTCTTATTGTACACCGATCGTTGCAGACACGAAAGGACGTGGAAGGATCACTGTTTGTCGTCAAACGGTGAGAAACTCGAGCATTTATTCGTCCCATTTCTTCATTCCAAGAAATGCTCACACCGTGTATCTCACAGTATATTTCACAGTGTATTTCACAGTGTATTTCACAGTGTATTTCACAGTGTATTTCACAGTGTATCTCACAGTATATTTCACAGTGTATGAAACAGTGAGAAACTCGAGCATTCCATTTCCCGTCATAACTTCACACAGTGTATCTCACGCTCGCATCGATTTACATTGCCTTATCTCACCTCTTCAATATTGTGTCACAAATCCGCCATTCTCCCTCAGTATTTCCTTTGGAGGCGCCTCAAAAGCCATTCTCCATCAGTATTTCCTTTGGAGGCGCCTCAAAAGCCATTCTCCCTCAGTATTTCCTTTGGAGGCGCCTCAAAAGCCATTCTCCCTCAGTATTTCCTTTGGAGGCGCCTCAAAAGCCATTCTCCCTCAGTATTTCCTTTGGAGGCGCCTCAAAAGCCATTCTCCCTCAGTATTTCCTTTGGAGGCGCCTCAAAAGCCATTCTCCCTCAGTATTTCCTTTGGAGGCGCCTCAAAAGCCATTCTCCCTCAGTATTTCCTTTGGAGGCGCCTCAAAAGCCATTCTCCCTCAGTATTTCCTTTGGAGGCGCCTCAAAAGCCATTCTCCCTCAGTATTTCCTTTGGAGGCGCCTCAAAAGCCATTCTCCCTCAGTATTTCCTTTGGAGGCGCCTCAAAAGCCATTCTCCCTCAGTATTTCCTTTGGAGGCGCCTCAAAAGCCATTCTCCCTCAGTATTTCCTTTGGAGGCGCCTCAAAAGCCATTCTCCCTCAGTATTTCCTTTGGAGGCGCCTCAAAAGCCATTCTCCCTCAGTATTTCCTTTGGAGGCGCCTCAAAAGCCATTCTCCCTCAGTATTTCCTTTGGAGGCGCCTCAAAAGCCATTCTCCCTCAGTATTTCCTTTGGAGGCGCCTCAAAAGCCATTCTCCCTCAGTATTTCCTTTGGAGGCGCCTCAAAAGCCATTCTCCCTCAGTATTTCCTTTGGAGGCGCCTCAAAAGCCATTCTCCCTCAGTATTTCCTTTGGAGGCGCCTCAAAAGCCATTCTCCCTCAGTATTTCCTTTGGAGGCGCCTCAAAAGCCATTCTCCCTCAGTATTTCCTTTGGAGGCGCCTCAAAAGCCATTCTCCCTCAGTATTTCCTTTGGAGGCGCCTCAAAAGCCATTCTCCCTCAGTATTTCCTTTGGAGGCGCCTCAAAAGCCATTCTCCCTCAGTATTTCCTTTGGAGGCGCCTCAAAAGCCATTCTCCCTCAGTATTTCCTTTGGAGGCGCCTCAAAAGCCATTCTCCCTCAGTATTTCCTTTGGAGGCGCCTCAAAAGCCATTCTCCCTCAGTATTTCCTTTGGAGGCGCCTCAAAAGCCATTCTCCCTCAGTATTTCCTTTGGAGGCGCCTCAAAAGCCATTCTCCCTCAGTATTTCCTTTGGAGGCGCCTCAAAAGCCATTCTCCCTCAGTATTTCCTTTGGAGGCGCCTCAAAAGCCATTCTCCCTCAGTATTTCCTTTGGAGGCGCCTCAAAAGCCATTCTCCCTCAGTATTTCCTTTGGAGGCGCCTCAAAAGCCATTCTCCCTCAGTATTTCCTTTGGAGGCGCCTCAAAAGCCATTCTCCCTCAGTATTTCCTTTGGAGGCGCCTCAAAAGCCATTCTCCCTCAGTATTTCCTTTGGAGGCGCCTCAAAAGCCATTCTCCCTCAGTATTTCCTTTGGAGGCGCCTCAAAAGCCATTCTCCCTCAGTATTTCCTTTGGAGGCGCCTCAAAAGCCATTCTCCCTCAGTATTTCCTTTGGAGGCGCCTCAAAAGCCATTCTCCCTCAGTATTTCCTTTGGAGGCGCCTCAAAAGCCATTCTCCCTCAGTATTTCCTTTGGAGGCGCCTCAAAAGCCATTCTCCCTCAGTATTTCCTTTGGAGGCGCCTCAAAAGCCATTCTCCCTCAGTATTTCCTTTGGAGGCGCCTCAAAAGCCATTCTCCCTCAGTATTTCCTTTGGAGGCGCCTCAAAAGCCATTCTCCCTCAGTATTTCCTTTGGAGGCGCCTCAAAAGCCATTCTCCCTCAGTATTTCCTTTGGAGGCGCCTCAAAAGCCATTCTCCCTCAGTATTTCCTTTGGAGGCGCCTCAAAAGCCATTCTCCCTCAGTATTTCCTTTGGAGGCGCCTCAAAAGCCATTCTCCCTCAGTATTTCCTTTGGAGGCGCCTCAAAAGCCATTCTCCCTCAGTATTTCCTTTGGAGGCGCCTCAAAAGCCATTCTCCCTCAGTATTTCCTCTCTTCATATGTACCCGTGTGCTTGATTGTGTGCTTTCATTTGTGGGTCTGGTTGCAATGGTGTGGGTGTGTGTCTGCATATGGGGGTGTTTCCACATTCTCTCACCTTTTGCATGTTGATCAATGCTTCTTTGAACATACGCATGGTTGCCTGCATGGGTGTGTGCCTGCATGGGTGTGTGTCGCATGGGTGTGTGCCTGCATGGTTGCACATTTCAGCAAGGAGCAGCCTCGCTTTCAGTTCATAGTCATGAATCGCAGAGCCCCAGGTATACATGTAAACAACATACATGTATTATGCGTACATTTACATGTAAACAACATACATGTACACTACATGTGTGCGCATGCGTGCATGTATCGCTGCTGCATGTATGTGTGTGTACGCGTGCAGCAATTTTGGTTCATAGTCATGTATGTATGAGCGTGTTCGTGAGCATACATGTATGTATGGTGCGATTATCCTCACAACCTTAGTTAGGGGCCTTAATAGGGCCCTGAGTGGTGCCTTAATACCCGTTCTCTCCTCTCCACTTTCCCCAGACAACCTGATAGAGGACCTTCTAGGTGACCTAGAGTACGAGGTGCA